TCTCTTTATAATGCAGCTTTGCCTTATTTATCTCCAATTTCACTTAACTCAGAAAGATTTACCAATATCAATAACTAAAGTGTTACCAATATTTTGAATATGTTTTTGTTGATGTAGCTGGTCTCTAAGCCCCAGCAGTTTGACGTGATGGTGATGCCTAATCTCTATGGAAATGTGGTGAGCAATGTGTGCGCTGGACTTGTTGGAGGTCCAGGTCTAGTACCAGGAGTCAACTACGGCAAGGACTACGCTGTTTTTGAGACCGTAAGAAAGAACAGAGCATGTACTGGTCAGCCATTAGACTGACTACAGAACACATGAGATATTGTTTGTTTTTATATAGGCCACTAGGAACACTGGAAAAAATATTGCTAACAATAATATTGCAAATCCCACAGCCACACTGCTGGCCAGCTGCCTGATGCTGGATCACTTAAAGTATGTGTGTATGAATATTAATTTGATCATTTTCATTGGAGGTTTTACCAATATTAGAGGTTTTAAATCCACATTACTTGCGTGCATTATACATGAAACATAATTATACACTAGTCAAAAGGAAAAAAAAGTTAGCTGTAGGACTGGAATGGTGCGTTCCGTTCATGTCTGGGCTGTCTTTCTTCTTTCCAAGGCTTCATGCATATGCCAAGATGATTCGAAAGGCAGTTCTGAAAACTTTGTCTGAAACTCAGGTATCATACAATACATGCTCATTATGTCAAACAGCTATAGAAATTCATCTCACCTAAGACAAGCCAAATCCATTGCTCACTCTTACCATACCCTTTTATCTGCAGTATTGCATCTCTACTAAACACATACTGCTTGAATAGTCATTTGTTTTCACATGTCTCTATATCCCTGCAGTTGCAGACTGCTGACTTGGGAGGTCAGGGTACTACATCTGAGGTGGCCCACTCTATTATGCAGGAGATCCAGAGAGGAGGACCATGCACATCAGAACAGATCTGAACTTCATTTCTGCAGGTCCTAGACCCTCACAGAGTACACAGAAACGATCTTATGCTTTTGAGAAACACAGGACACATGGTGAATTCTTTAATGTAAAGATGTAAGTTAGTGTGTTGAAATGGTGTATATTTTTCTTTTGTAATCTATATATCTAGCGGTATAAATGTTTCTGATGTTATTTATCCGTCATGATCAAGTTAAGGCCTTTATCTAAACTGAACTGGACTGCTGTGTATTTTATTTCATACCCAACAGGTTCTGTATTGAGGTTTCCATCTTATTCATTTATTATTTATTGCCTGTTGTTAATTGATGATGCACTTTCATGAATAAATGTTCTAAAACTTCATGCCTCATCATAAGACATGTTCAAAATTAAATAGACAGTATGATGTATGGACAAACATTTTCCAATAGGTGGCACTAAAACGCTGCACTTCAGCTTTATCAAGTTTGGATGCTTTTTGACATTTATGAGTATTAGAATAAGTTATGACTGCTTTAGTGCAAAAAGTGAAATATATTACATGTAATGTTTACTTTCAGCGCAAGTGACTGTTTGCAGTAATGACTGAGCTAGAATGTTTTTCTTAGGGAAGAAAATATTCATGAAAAAAGAATGAATTTATACTAGTGCTGTCGCATCCAAAATAAAAAATGTTGTTTACATAATGTGTGTATACTGTGTATTTATCATGTATATATAAATACAAACACATGCATGTATATATT